CTCCATCATACGGTGTTTATATCCCAACTCATTTGTTATGCCTGTTATTTTATTTTATTCCATTTTGTCCAAGGTTATAGTTGTCTTTTTTACATTGTTTTACATCTCCCACTTTTTTATTTAATATAGTATTTATATTGTGTCATAGATCAAATTTATTCGTTCAGTTTTTGTTAATATGTCTTTTTGATTGAGTTAAGCCATTTCAATTGATATTTTATAGTGTGTCTTTCTATGGATGGAGAGTTGTCTCATTGGTACTCATACCACATCTTCTTATTTCTATTAACTCATCAGATTGATACAAAGCAGAAAAACAAGTAACAAAAACACAAGACTGGACGTGGCAGATATTTATACATCCCTACAACAAAAAAGAACTTGTGTTTTAGTTGATTTTAGTCTCTGATGCATAATTTTTTATTATTAATTGTTTTTGGCTTTTAACTAGCTTTCAGTAACTGCGAGTACTCTCAAATCTTACTTTTGTGTTAATTTGACCTGTTGATACAATTTGTAATGTACTTTGTTATTTAATGTTTACTTATTCAGTGTTATATCTAGTCTCACTATTTTTAATATATACCACCTTTGATAAGTGTTTAGTATGACGATAAATTTTCACTTTTGTTCTCGTACTAGGAACAACAAAATTATTTATTTTGTAAAAATTATTTTTGTATTCCATGTATACCTTACAACAAAATTATTTTTATCTACCTGTGTACGTTATTTTATTTGGCGGCATTTTGTCTTTGGTTATGGTTGTCTTTCTGATATTGTTTTACATCTAACCCCCTTGTTTTATTATTTTGTATTTACATTGTGTCATAGATCTAATTTATTCGTTCAGTGCATGTTTACTTGTTTTGTTAATATGTCTTTTAATGAGTTAAGACATTTCAATTGATATTTTATAATGTGTCTTTCTATGTTGTGATGTTACACTATTGTTTCAGGTTAGGGTGAAGGTTGGCGCCTATTAAAACGTTTAAACCCGCTGCATTTGTTTGCACCTGTCCTAAGTCAAGAACCTGATGTTCAGTGGTTGTCGTTTGTTGATGTGGTTCATAAGTGTTTGTCGTTTCTCGTTTTTTATATAGATTAGACTGTTGGTTTTCCTATTTGAATGGTTTTACATTAGTCATTTTTGGGGCCCTTTATAGCTTGCTGTTCGGTGTGAGCCAAGGCTCTGTGTTGAAGGCCGCACTTTGACCTATAATGGTTTACTTTTACAAATTGTGACTTGGATGGAGAGTTGTCTCATTGGCACTCATACCACATCTTCTTATATCTACTTAAGTACAGATCTGATAAGCCAATAACAACTAATAAAAAAATCATGTAGCTAAGACTAAATTTGAAAAGTTGAGTTTGTAAATGGACAATACCAACAAATATTTTTATCTGTAAACCAATTTTCTTTAAAATGGTTGCTTAGAATCCTGAAAAATATCGTTACATATTTAAATTATTTACCTTGATTCAGGATACTTTAAATCTGCTTCTGTTAAATATAATATTAAAAAAGCTCTTGTAATAATCAGAATTAAATTGACCATTTGGAAGAGAATGGGTACTGGGTAGAGCAATGAATTGTTTTAAAAGCCCCTTTAATATCTTAACATTTGTTTATGAATGAGATATGATTCTTTTAAAAAAAAACAAGTTAATTTCATGTGTAGAAAACTCAGTAGTTAATGTATAAATTACAGCAATATCTTTTAAGAAAGACAAATAGTTCTGATCTGGTTTCCTGCCAAAAGATTGCCTTGTAGATATTATTCAATCAGCTTATATCAAGGTTAATTCTACCAGAGGTAGAACAATTATATCAAGATGATTTTTAATCAGAGCCGTATCAATAAAGGAGTAGGTCCAGTAAGACCCTTTTTTGGCCCCAAAATATAGCAGTTTTCCAAAATTGTTAAAATGTAAACTTTTAGCTATTTATTGGAAAGTAGAATACTTCTGCTATACAAATATGGGCTGTTTTTGACAATACAATGCACATATATCGGGTACTAGCATCATTCAGTCATGCTAAATTACTGAAATCTTCACAATTTTAGCATTTGAGTTAAATTTTAGACGGTTTTCGTCTTAAATGGAAGTGGCCGCATTTGTGTTCATTCTTAATATTTAAATGCAAGTTGTATTTGATGATAATACAAAACATATATAAAGGGTGAGAGTGAACACGGATGCGGCCACTTCCATTTTTTACAAAAACCATCTAAAAAGTGACATATTATGGCATATTTGATAGATCTTTCATATTTAAGCTTGAATTTGAGCGTATTTAATGACTAAATCAGTTAATATCTTTCACATAAACTAATTGAATCGACTGAAGTAGACACTTAAGTGTTTAAAAAGTGTCCAAAATCTTTCATCAGATGAATCTGAAATTTGAGGCCAAAATCGGCCCTTACCGGACCTACTCCTTTATAGAGAAAATTCAGAATATTCTACAAATGCATTTTTATGATTTGTTTCATGTTATGCTTGGTTGGAAGTATATTAAAACCATCTTATAGCAAGGTGTCGGTCGGGTAGGGAAAAGTTGGTATCTAATTTGTGAAATCAACTCCTCCAACAGTTTTCAACCCAGATTCCTGAAACTTCATAGGAAGATTGCACATATATTAAAGTTATACACATGCTATTATGATTATTGTTTTAGGATTTTTTTTCTCATTTTTACAGACTTGGTAATTAAGTCATTTTTCAGCAAAAATCAATGAGGGCTATTCCATCAAAATGTATGTGGGAGGGTAGGAAGGGAGGTTTAATTATTGAATGTGGGTCATGGGTCTTTTTTCAGTATGCATCTATTACCATTATGCAAAATTATCTAAAAAATGGTTCTTGGTTGTAGAGATATTTTGAAAGTCCCTTCCTACCCTCCCACATACATTTTAATGGAATAGCCCTGAAAGAGGGTTCAAGCTTTGCATTACCCAGATCCCTAAAACTTCACAGGAAGATTGTACCTATTTTAAAGTTGTACACCTGCTATTATGGAATTGTTTTAGGATTTTTTTCTCATTTTTCCAGACTTGGGAACTTAGTAATTTTTCAGAAAATTTATGAAAGAGGGTACAAGTTTTCAAAATCTTCTTCCCCCTGTACATTGTAAACATTCTACATTGATTAGTCCAAATATTTCAACATGGCCATTTGAGATTTTGATCCATTTTTAATTTTAAGTGATATCACAATCAAATAAAAATGTTTCTGAATCTAATGATGTCTTGTTTCATTTGCACAGTTTACAGCCTATGATGGCCAATCAGCTAGAAAACACATGAAATAAAATCATCAAAACTATCAATATGTTGAACTGATATTATCCTTTACGATCCTCTGTAAACTGATTGTATTTGTAAGTTCTAAGTCATTATGCTGGTATTTGTAAGTTCTAAGTCATTATGCTGTATTTGTAAGTTCTAAGTCATTATGCTGTATTTGTAAGTTCTAAGTCATTATGTGATTTCTAAACAAAGACGAAATATATGGATGAGGAAAAATAGAAAAAGTAGACTTTTGTGAGTTGGTGAAGAAATATCTACAAAGATATAATGAATTTTCAAAAAAAGCTATACAAACTGTTAAAAAGTGAAAACAATGTTGGTTGATTATATTTCATTTGTACAGGTTGATATTTTAGACTTTGCCAAATGTGTTGACTATAACAGTTGGGAAGAAGTTTAAAGGAAAGGAGAAGGTCAATAGATGTGTATCATCATGATCATAAATTGTTCAACCCAACAGAAATGAATGATTTCAAGAATTTTAATTTCAACTTTGTATGTTATATTTTACAGTCTCAGTTTCCTGGTAAATTAAGTTTGTGCCTAATCAGTGCTGTTCAGGCAAATAATTCACACAACTGGGTCAAGATGCCCCTAACTCATTCCATATGATCCTGGGTATGACTGGTGCTTTGTGATGACCTCAAGACCTTAATTAAAATTTTGGAGGTCTTTTTATGTGGTAGTGTCTATTATGTGTAGTCTCTTTAAACATGGAACGACTGGTGCCAAATGATAGCTCAACATATATAAAAAAAATGGGCTCATTTCAAGCTATTGAACATCCACCACTACAAGTCTCTCTGTTGTGTCTACAAGATGAAATACCACAATTATGGACCTTATATAAGCCAGAATCGGACAAACTAACTAGACCTGACCATCAAATTTAATATCTACAACAATTTGATAAGGCTGTTAATAACAAAGACTGGATACAGTTTAACTTTTATTATAATATATAAGTTTGCCCTTTGGGAGTAAGAATCTCAGCTTGGAAAATTTTGCTCCAGGCCCTGTCGACGACACATTGTATAGTGGGTAGCAAAGCCCCGTGGACTCCATGAACACAGAGGGTTCAAAAAGGGGATGAAGCGATGCTTCATTGACGGTGGAGAGATGAAAAGTAGTTATTACTTGGTGATAAGAAGAGAAATTAACCAGTGGTGAATTTCATAATGGTCCAAAGCTCAGATGAGAAACAGCTGAGTGACCCCCAAGGAATTAAATTTTTCAAAAATTGGGTAACCCAGAAAGGCCCATGTCATGCCGCTTCAGCAAGTCCTTATTTTCACATAGTTAAATTCTCTGGAAATTCAGTTCTGTACAAACATTTCATATCTCCAAAGTTTTTACATCTTTATAATATTGTACAGTCTTCTGCTCTTCAAAAAAGCCCAAATGGTTAAGCTCAGTCAATTACTAAAAATAGGATCATGTCCAATTTCATTGCATACAGGCTTTTTTATTTCTATTTATAGTTTGAGTACATCACTTTGAGGCGCATTTAAGGGATATTGACCCAACTATTTGATAATCAGTACATTTCCCATATCATGCTCCTATCCAGAGAGGATGAACTAGAAATAGAAGTAAGAATATGTGATCATGTACATAATATTCTATAACTAGAACTCAAATATTCGAATTTAATCTGATATTAAATATTTAATTCTTTTTTACAGTTTAGCTGTTATTTCCGAGAATATTATCTTAGCTCTGAATGAAGACTACTTATCAAAAGACAGTAATGTAAATTTACAAGATGGCGATGAAATAGCAGTAATACCACCTATCAGTGGAGGGTAATTGAAATGGTGAGTATCTATCTAGAGACAGTAGATGTGTAAAAGGGGGAGGAAATAGCAGTGATACCACCTATAGATCAGTGGAGGGTAATTAGGGCCCCGCCGAATGGCAGATGCCCTATAGTGATCAGTCTGTCTGTCCATCTGTCCATCCATCTGTCCATCCGTCTGTCAGTCCGTCCGTCCGTAACAAATTGTGTCCGCTCTATATCTAAAGAACCTTTATGATTTCAAAGTTTATACTTGACATGTATATTAACCAACACCAGAGGGTGTGTCATAATGTTTGAACAACTTCCTAGGTCAAAGGTCAAGGTCAAAAACTTTGGTTTTAGTTGACAACCCAATGTCCTATGGTAAAGATCGTGTCCGCTCTATATCTTGAGAACCGTTATGATTTCAAAGTTTTTACTTGACATGTATATAAACCAACACCAGAGGGTGTGTCATAATTTATGTACAACTCCCTAGGTCAAAGGTCAAGGTCAAAAACTTTGGTTTTAGTTGACAACCCAATGTCCTATGGTAAAGATCGTGTCCGCTCTATATCTTGAGAACCTTTATGATTTCAAAGTTTATACTTGACATGTATATAAACCAACACCAGAGGGTGTGTCATAATTTATGTACAACTTCCTAGGTCAAAGGTCAAGGTCAAAAACTTTGGTTTTAGTTGACAACCCCATGTCCTATGGTAAAGATCGTGTCCGCTCTATATCTTGAGAACCGTTATGATTTCGAAGTTTATACTTGACATGTTTATAAACCAACACCAGAGAGTTTGTCATAATTTATGTACAACTTCCTAGGTCAAAGGTCAAGGTCAAAAACTTTGGTTTCAGTTGACAACCCCATGTCCAATAATAAAGATACAAATTTTTTACCACACATTATTCAGAGCGGGACCCACAGAGATGGCTCCCATCTCAATGATATCTAGTTGAAATGGTGAGTATTTGTTCAGAGACAACAGATGTGTAAGTGGGAAAGGAAATAGCAGTGATACCACCTATCAGTGTATGGTAATTAAATTGGTGAGTATCTGTCCAGAGACAGCAGATGTGTAAGATGGGAGGAAATAGCAGTGATACCACCTATCAGTGTATGGTAATTAAAATGGTGAGTATCTGTCCAGAGACAGCAGATGTGTAAAAGGGGGAGGAAATAGCAGTGATATCACCTATCAGTGTAGGGTAATTAAAATGGTGAGTATCTGTCCAGAGACAGCAGATGTGTAAAAGGGGGAGGAAATAGCAGTGATACCACCTATCATTGTAGGGTAATTTAAATGGTGAGTATCTATCCAGAGACAGCAGATGTGTAAAAGGGGGAGGAAATGGCAGTGATACCACCTATCAGTGGAGGGTAATTAGAATGATGAGTCTCTGTCCAGAGACAGCAGATGTGTAAAAGGGGGAGGAAATAGCAGTGATATCACCTATCAGTGGAGGGTAATTAAAATGGTGAGTATCTGTCCAGAGACAGCATATGTGTCAGAGGGGAAGGAAAAAGCAGTGATACCACCGATCAGTAGAAGGTAATTAAAATGGTGAGTATCTGTCCAGAGACAGCAGATATGTAAAAGGGGGAGGAAATAGCAGTGATATCACCTATCAGTGGAGGGTAATGAAAATGGTGAGTATCTGTCCAGAGCCAGCAGATTTGTAAGAGGGGAGGACATAGTAGTGATACCACCTATCAGTGTAGGGTAAATAAAATGGTGAGTATCTGTCCAGAGACAGCAGATTTGTAAGAAGGGAGGAAATAGCAGTGATATCACCTATCAGTGGAGGGTAATTATAATGGTGAGTATCTGTCCAGAGACATCAGATGTGTTATAGGGGGAGGAAATAGCAGTGGTACCACTCATCAGTGGAGAGTAATTGAAATGGTGAGTATCTATCCAGAGACAGTAGATGTGTAAGAGGGGAGGTAACAGAAGTGATACACCCTATCAGTTGAGGATAATAGAATGGTGAGTATCTGTCCAGAGACAGTTGATATATAAAAGGGGGAGGAAATAACAGTGATACCACCTATCAGTGGAGGGTAATTGAAATGGTGACTATCTGTCCAGAGACAGCAGATTTGTAAGAGGGGAGGACATAGCAGTGATACCACCTATCAGTGTAGGGTAATTAAAATGGTGAGTATCTGTCCAGAGACAGTAGATGTGTAAGAGGGGGAGGAAATAGCAGTAATACCACCTATCAGTGGAGGGTAATTAAAATGGTGAGTATCTGTCAAGAGACCGCAGATGTGTAATAGGGGAGGAAACAGCAGTGATATCACCTATCAGTGTAGGGTAATTGAAATGGTGAGTATCTGTCCAGAGACAGTAGATGTATAAAAGGGGGAGGAAATAGCAGTGATACCACCTATCAGTGGAGGGTAATTAAAATGGTGAGTATCTGTCCAGAGACAGCAGATGTGTAAAAGGGGGAGGAAATAGCAGTGATACCACCTATCAGTGGAGGGTAATTAAAACGGTGAGTATCTGTCCAGACAGTAGATCTGAAGAGGGAAGGAAACAGCAGTGATACCACCTATCAGTGTGGGGTAATTAAAATGGTGAGTATCTGTCCAGAGACAGCAGATGTGTAAACGGGGGAAGAAAAAAGCAGTGATACCACCTATCAGTGTAGGGGAATTGAAATGGTGAGTATCTGTCCAGAGACAGTAGATGTGTAAAAGGGGGAGGAAATAGCAGTGATACCACCTATCAGTGGAGGGTAATTAAAATGGTGAGTATCTGTCCAGAGACAGCAGATGTGTAAAAGGGGGAGGAAACAGCAGTGATACCACCTTTCAGTGTAGGGTAATTGAAATGGTGAGTATCTGTCTAGAGACAATAGATGTGTAAAAGGGGGAGAAAATAGCAGTGATACCACCTATCAGTGGAGGGTAATTAAAATGGTGAGTATCTGTCCAGAGACAGCAGATGTGAAGAGGGAAGGAAATAGCAGTGATACCACCTATCAATGTAGGGTAATAATAATGGTGAGGATCTGTCCAGAGACAGCAGATGTGTAAAAGGTGGAGGAAATAGCAGCGATATCACCTATCAGTGTAGGGTAATTAGAATGGTGAGTATCTGTCCAGAGACAGCAGATGTGTAAAAGGGGGAGGAAATGGCAGTGATACCACCTATCATTGGAGGGTAATTAAAATGGTGAGTATCAGTAGATATATAAAAGGGGATGAAATAGCAGTGATACAATTTATCAGAAACTACTTGGCCAGTTAAACACACACTTAACCACCTCATGTCTCCTTTAAGAATTAGGGCTAATCAGCCAAAATGTAATGAACTGTTTACTGAAATCAGAATACATTGGACTGCAAAATAATCTTTAATGGCTGTTCCTGTAAATATAAACTGAATTTTTTTTTTTGATAAGTTTTGCAACAGCTAGTTAGAGATTGCAATTTTGTTTGATGGTCAGTTGACTTACTTTTGACCTAATTACATCCCTTATAAGTGTTTATTGGTCTTCAAATATGTTTACCACAAAAGCCCTTAAACTTGACTAGTTTTACTGGATATACGAGGTAGATGTCTCAGGTCAAAAACAACAAATTAGGACCTCAAATATCTGGTCTATTGCTGAATACTGTATGTTTATTAGTAGATGATTTTTAGCCAGATTGGACAAAGCCACCTAAAATGAAATCTTACAGTTTTCAACCCAGAACCCTGAAACATCACAGAAACATTACACATATGTTGTGCACCTGCTATAGTGAAACTGTTTAAGGAATTTTAACATTTCATATTTCAAATACTTAAATGTTAAATGTAGATTGATTGATTGATTGGTGTTTATAGGTTGCACTTTGTAAATACAGCTGTTTCTCAAACCACGCCTCTTTTGGGGAGATATAGAATATTCATAGATAATTAATTTTGTTTACATACTGGTTCCCAGTTATGATCTCTGTGTTTCATCTCATAGAGACATAACTTGGGAATATTACCAGTAAATATACATATGCATATTGTTTATATTGAAATCTGTGGTAATCCTACAGTTAAGGTAGGGGTAGTTAAGAAATTTAGTGTTAGTTTAAACTCTTAGAAGTTCGGGGCATATAAACGTTGAAAATATGCCGCACAGCCCTATATTTTGACCTTTAAAAATAGTAGTGCATATGAAATTTCCATTCTAGGATATGATTTTTTTCAAAACTTCATAGTAAAAGTGGTACAGTTTTAGCTGTAAAAGGAGTTCCTATGGGAAATTGCATTGTCAATATTTACAGAAATGCAACCTATATTGGGTGAAAAAAGAGAACATACAGAATTTAACCAAATTTGGTTTATCTCACAGACTTTAATGAAATCAACTCAAATATGAAGTTTTATAAATATTTCGTGAAGATTGAGAAAATCCTGGGCCTTAACTATGATGACTCAGCATAAATTCACAGTTTACAGTATGCATAGTTTACTTAAAGCCCTGAATGCAAAATAAATTAATAATATATGCATATTTGTAAATTAAATTGTTTAGAAGTGCTTATATTTACTCTTCGCAGTCATTGAAACTCATAGATCCTTCCTGAATATTATTGGTGGGGTGTTTTTGTCCTGTTGATAACCCAAAAGTAAGCTGTAACACCTAAATCTGCTTTTTTGTCACCGCACAATAAAAAATACAAGCTAGAAATACAACACAATCTCAACAAAACTTACAATGGTGTGTGCAATCCTGAATATGTACTAAATATTCCATATAGCTAGAAACAGCAGAATAATTTAGGAAATTTGAGGCCCCAGGGGGCAAAAAAACAGAGAAAATTGCCTACCCCCTGGGTCATAAAACAAATAATATAACTTGTAAATGCTATGATTTTATGATTTTAAAGGTCTTTATATAGAAAACAATAACTGTGCTTGGAAGTTATGCCAAAATCAGATGTTAGCAGTCATTTCTATAAAATTTTAAGTGAATTTGTACATCAGACTGGTATCTGCATACATACAACTATTGCAAATATGGCTTTGTTTTAACACTTCTAGTTCATATATTAGCTAATTTATGTCAGATATATGGTTAGAGATGAAACTGTTGTGACAAAAAATCTAAACTGACCATTTGAGGCAGAAATTGTGAACTTTCATTGACAAATAGGCATACAGTAAGATGTGGACTGGAGACAGAGGCAGGATTGGATACTTTATATAATCTTGAATGTTGGAATGATTGACTGCTCATCATTACATTTACAGTATTCTGAAATGCTTTCAATTTGTTATCAGAACAGTTTTAAATAGGTTCTAGGCATTTCATGTCAGAAAACATGCAAATAGGGTAAGCTGGCAATAATTAAAGTATTGTTTACAAATTCTTTAAAAAACTGAAACAGGGGAGGGGTATAAAATGTACAGTAAAAGAAAACTTAGAGTATATGCAGCGATTTCTTTAAGACTATAATTCTGATTAATAAGTATTAATGTGAGAAAAAGTGTTTTTAGAGAGTTTTCTATTTGAATAAATGTCTTTATAGGTTGCACTTAGTAAATACAGCTGTTTCTCAAACCACGCCTCTTTTGGGGAGATATAGAATATTCATAGATAATTAATTTTGTTTACATACTGGTTCCCAGTTATGATCTCTATGTTTCATCTCATAGAGACATAACTTGGAAATATTACCAGTAAATATACATATATGTATTTTGTTTATATTGAAATCTGTGGTAATCCTACAGTTAAGGTAGGGGTAGTTAAGAAATTTAGTGTTAGTTTAAACTCTTAGAAGTTAGGGGCATATAAACGTTGAAAATATGCCGCACAGTCCTATATTTTGACCTTTAAAAAAAATAGTAGTGCATATGAACTTTCCATTCTAGGATATGATTTTTTTTCAAAACTTCATAGTAAAAGTGGTACAGTTTTAGCCGTAAAAGAAGTTCCTATGGGAAATTGCATTGTCAATATTTACAGAAATGCAACCTTAAAGCCACTTTCACACTATTGTGCTATTTCAGGGAGTCAGTTTTTATTGGTGGAGGAAGCTGGAGTGCTTGAAGAGCACCAGAACCTTCGGTAGGAAAACTGACAATCCTAGTCAATTAAGATTGAGTCCAGCACACCTGCCACATGCGGGATTCGAACTCACAACCTCAGTGTTGACAGGCTAGTGGTACAGTAGTTTGACTACTTAGACCACTCAGCCATCAAAGCCCCTTGTTCAAGATAGAGCATTTTTCTTTGTTTAACCCTGCCATTTGATTCTGATCTATTGTTATGTTTTGCTGTATTATTATGTATAATCACATTTTTTTTATACCACAAGTAACATAGTTATGTAGGGTATAATGGTTTTGACATGTCCATCTGTCTGTCCGTCTGTCTGTCAGTCCTGTTCTTGTCATCTCTACTCCTCTGAAACCACACGACAGACTTTCACAAAACTTAGATAATAAGGGCATACTATGTGCATATCAACAGGAAATTATGATTCAATTTTTTTTCTAGGAGTTATGCCCCTTTGAACTTAGAATTTTGGCCTAAATATACTACTGCAGCAGTTTGTAATTGCAACTCCTCTGAAACCACACAACAGACTTTCATAAAACTTTGAAGATAATAAGGGCATACTATGTGCATATCAACAGGAAATTATGATTCAATTTTTTTTCTAGGAGTTATGCCCTTTGAACTTAGAATTTTGGCCTAAATATACTACTGCAATTAGTTTGTCATCGCAACTACTCTGAAACACACAACAGAATTGCATGAAACTCTTAGGTGAATGGGGACATAGTATGTAGATGCGCATATTCACAAGAATTTTTTATCAGTTGACATTTGTAGGATTTATGAGTCTTTGAACTTAGGAATCTAGAGAGATTTTATTTGCCCATTGCCAATGTGGGGGCATGGGGTATGTGAGTGCGCTCACAAAGGTTCTTGAATTTTTTATATTCATAATATTTTGATTTGGTAAGGGATTCTTGGAAGGAAATTTTGTCTTAAATAGAAATCTATAGATAGTTAATATAATTAATCAATAAGGATTATGTAATTCATTTATTTCAGGCAAATCATGTAGAAATAAGAGAGAACAAACTAGATCTTGAAAAAATAACTAGTACTGTGACATCACCCAGCTGTGGAGCTGTGTCTGTGTTTATAGGTAAGCAAATAAATATTCACCATGAGATGAAAAAAAACCCAGGAAAGACAGTCATTGGTCACAAAATGCAAAATGTTTTGAATGACTTCTAACATTTTGGTAGCAAACTTTTAAAAGGGACCTTTTAATTCCCATTATTTGTCTTTGATGAGGCCACACAAATACTCTTGTTCTATGAATTTTAGAGACATGAAAAGGTGGGAGAAAGGGAAGTTTAATTTAAATCTTTTGTAGGATTTTTTGGCAATGGAATTTATTTAGTTTTTTAGAAAACTACTATTCTATTATATTAAAACTAAATTTCAACTGAAATATAGGAGTGGTCAATAGATAGTTTTTATTTTCAAATATATAAAACATGCTAAATGTAGGCATTTTGACTGTGGAGACTATAAAATCTTTCAATTTTTTTTTTCAACAAATGAAATTGATCATCACCAAAGAACTCCAAATCAAATTTGTTGTGACTTAACACATCATTGGTCACGATAGACATATTGACAAAATGTGTACACATTTGTCTTTGATATTAATTGAGAAAATTGAAATATGTAATGACTGATTGATTCGTTAGTGAAATTTATAATTATGTTATTGATGAAATCATTGGTAAAGACACGTTTAATGACTCAGGGTCAATATTGTTTTCTTCTGAAAATTTGATTTATAAGTTTGTCTTAATGGTGGATGTTTGTTGCATGTGTTTCTAAAGTAAAACATCTTTTGTCAGAGAAGTAATTACTAGAAATAATTGATGAAAGCCAGTGACATGACAAAATTTTAATAAGATACTGTTTTAGGAACCAATTCTTTGATTGATTCATTTAATATTTAATTGGAAGTCATATTTCTTTCTATGAAGTAAATTAGTTCACTGAAATAATACTTGGGAAATCCATGAATCAAAGAAGAATTAAAACGGTACAGTCCAGTGAGCCTATTACACAAAAATCAAAACATTCAATATTGAACCGTGCACGTTTTGGTGCAACAGAAGTGCATTTGTATTAAAAAAATCTGATCTTTTATGCTCAAGACCAAAATAGTAAAAAGTCATAAGTACTTGGCTACTAGCTGGAAATATCCTCAATAACCAACAATCCAGTCAGAAAAACATTGAAAATATCAGATTGTGCATGGTTTTCACAGAATTTTATATTCTTATATCTTATATATACAATAGAATTACCATTCAAACATATAGGAAAGGGTTTGATGTTTTGAATTAATATTACTGTAGCCAATATATTCTTTTAGCCGATAACTGATTAGATGGAGTCTACTGTATCTACTAAAGGGTTTTTATATTTGAATTGTGCTGAATTTTATAAACCAGATGTGTCTTGTTATAATTGATGTCCTCCAGTGATGTATATGGCTAAAATATATGGGAATCTGAAACCAACACTAAAATCTTAATATCATTGGAGATTGTATGGTGACCTTCAGATATTTATTTTGATTAATTTATGCTGTTCAGTTACTGTCTCATTGACATTTACTCCATGTCTTTTTTTGTAATAAAGTTATTGCAATTTAACAATAGAACAGGGGAAAAAAGGAGACGAACAAGTCTAAGGAGTCAAAGCTATGAATGGGGAAGAGAACAAGTCTATGGAGTCAAAGCTATGAATGGGGAAGATGAGTTTCAATTTCCTATATATTTCTCAATGTGTCACTATAAATTTAAAGCAGCATAAACAAGATACAATGAAAACAAAGTGAGATCTTATAATTTGACTTGGTTTTTTTCTTCTCCATTGTTTCACATTTTGTCATCCTAGGGCTTATTTGTGGCTTGGTGTGTGATGTGGGTTTTGATGGTTGTTTGGGGCCATGCAGTTTCCTGTTGTTCTTCTTGTCTTTGTCCTATGATCTATGATGGATAGATAACTCATTGGGTGATATATGATGGATAGATAACTCATTGGGTGATCTATGATGGATATATAACTCATTGGGTGATATATGATGGATAGATAACTCATTGGGTGATATATGATGGATAGATAACTCATTGGATGATATATGATGGATAGATAACTCATTGGGTGATCTATAATGGATAGATAACTCATTGGGTGATCTATGATGGATAGATAACTCATTGGGTGATCTATGATGGATAGATAACTCATTGGGTGATATATGATGGATAGATAACTCATTGGGTGATATATGATGGATAGATAACTCATTGGGTGATATATGATGGATAGATAACTCATTGGGTGATATATGATGGATAGATAACTCATTGGGTGATATATGATGGATAGATAACTCATTGGGTGATATATGATGGATAAATAACTCATTGGGTGATATATGATGGATAGATAATTCATTGGGTATCTCCCATCTACCTCTATTTTTGTATTAGATAATTCTCAGTCATGGAATTTATTTGTTTTTGAGAGTCTCAATGTTTGAAAAAAAGTTTAAGAAAGTTTATATATTAGCTTAGCCATTGTAATGGTTCATACTATTTTTGTTTTAATTTTCAGGAACTACAAGAGATAATTTTGATGGCAAGAGAGTGAAAACATTAGAATATGAAGCTTACATTCCTATGGCAAAAAAGAAAATGTCTGAAGTTTGTCAGCAGATAAGAGAAAAATGGGAAGTGGAAAAAATTGTTATGGAACATAGAATAGGGTAAGGGAGACAACCATTGTGACAAATGCATAGCTATTAAAACACTATTTGTAGATTAAAGAACTACTTGCAACAACTCTCTGTGTGGTCAGTGTAAACAAGGACATCATTTTTCAACTGTAGATTGATTGTTGCTTGCTTAATGTCCTGTTGGAAAATATTTCATGCATATTCAGGATGAGTACAAATTTACAATAAATACAATTGGTATGTTCTGCATAGTTGGTTGATTGGGATGAAGGGCGAAAAATGTGGACTGCCTGTGGAAAATGAGGATATGTTAGATAGGGGCAGACAGTTGGCCTTGTAACAGTCCACCTATTGATGTCTATGTTTTAATTGTAACAGTACTGGTATACTGTATATGGTAAAATTGAGAATGGAAATGGGGAATGTGTCAAAGAGACAACAACCCGACCATAGAGCAGACAACAGCCAAAGGCCACCAATGGGTCTTCAATGGAGCGAGAAACTCCCGCACCCAGAGGCTTCCTTCAGCTGGCCCCTAAACAAATATGTATACTAGTTCAGTGATAATGGACGTCATACTAAACTCCAAATTATACACAAGAAACTAAAATTAAAAACGATACAAGACTAACAAAGGCCAGAGGCTCCTGACTTGGGACAGGCGCAAAAATGTGGCGGGGTTAAACATGTTTTTTGAGATCTCAACCCTCCCCCTATACCTCTAGCCAATGTAGAAAAAACAAACGTACAACAGTACGCACAGTAAAACTCAGTTTAAGAGAAGTCAGAGTCCGATGTCAGAATAGGAAACAAAAGAAAATAAACAAAATGACAATAATACATAAATAACAACAGACTACTAGCAGTTACTGACATGCCAGCTCCAGACCTCAATTAAACTGATTGAAAGATAATGTTTTCATCATATGAATATCAGGCACAATCCCTCCTGTTAGGGGTTTAGTATTATACCGTCATAAAATATATGAGAAGAACATAACCCGTGTCATGCCAACAACTGATTTTAGAATAAATATGTTTAATTCCGATGCAAAGACCCTATAAGTGAATCAATATTAAAGCCAAAATATGCAATCTTTAATGACCTGACAACAGTATCGTAACTATATCCCTTCTTAATAAGTCTGTTTAAAGGTTTTGTTAGCTTTTGAGGTGAATACTGACATTTTTGTGCTTTGTAAAGAATATTACCATAAAAGATTGGATGTGAAATACCCTAACGTATAAGATGTTTGCATGTTGAGTTATATTTACGAATGATGTCCTTATACTGATGATAAAATTTAGTAAATGTTTTGACTAGTTTATGATATCGAAACCCTGGTGTAATAATTTTTCAGTAATATATAAATTTCTCTCGCTAAAATCTAATACGTTGTTACATACACGAGCGAATCGTACAAGTTGAGATATATAAACACCATAAGATGGTGACAAGGGAACGTCACCATCTAAAAATGGATAATTAACGATAGGAAATGAAAAATCATCTCTTTTATCATAAATTTTTGTATTAAGCTTCCCGTTAATGATATAGATATCAAGATCGAGGAAAGGACAGTGGTCATTGTTAGTATTAGCTTTATTTAAAGTAAGTTCAACAGGATAAATTTCTTTAGTATACATACTGAAGTTGTCATTATTGAGAGCCAATATATCATCCAAATATCTAAAAGTATTGTTAAATTTGTGTATCAGATGTTGTTTCGATGGGTCTTTGCTGATGACCATATCTGGACCCTTGATAAGCAAAGAACCAGTTGACCATTCTCACTTTATATATTTTTTTTTCTTTTTCAGACTTGTCCCAGTAACAGAGGCTAGCATCATTATAGCTATATCATCACCACATAGAAAGGAAAGTTTAGACGCTGTTCAATATGCTATAGATACTGTTAAGGCTATTGTTCCAGTATGGAAAAAGGTATAGTGAGTTATGAAGTATGAACATTCTTTTTAAGTTACTGTGTTTTTGGAATAATGTGGATTCATTTTTATTCATGGTATACCATTTTTGTTGGGTTTCGTGGGTCAGAGCAAATCACGAATTTAATAATTGAACGAAGAATAACCCCAAGAAATGTGTATCTGGTTAGATGTTTATTTCAGGTTATGTTGTACAATTCTAGATAAGTGATGACATGCGATAAACATGATAACATAAAACGTGTTTATGGAATAAAAAATAAAAGTATTTTGATTAAATAAATAATGATATCCTTAGAATATCAGTGAGAATTTAATTGTTTAAATGGATGAAAATTGTTCTTAGAAATAACTACCAGTTGTTAATTACCTTGAACATAATTTGGTTAATCGGTTATTAAAAATCAATAGGATTAAGACATTGCCAGCGGTGCTTTGCTTTTGCCCCAATTGGCATTTCATTTGCGCCACAAACCATATTTCATTTGCGCCAAAATAAAACATTTCATTTGGGCCAATAATACAGGTATATACAGGTAAATAGTGTAAAAAAATAAGTTTTATTCAAAAGAGACTTTTAATAATAATTTTAAAACAAATTTTTTTTTATTGCATAATAAAACATATTCATCAGAAATCAGTCATTATAAAAATAATAAAAGCACCATACACTGATACGTTCTTAAAAAGAGACTTTTCATAATAATGTTAAAACACAGTTCTGTTATAAATTAACGTGATCATAAAACCTAAAAGAAAGCACTATACACTGGAGTAAAACCAAAAGTTTGTTCTAACACAAAACTTGTAAGCAACGGTCCGGGTGTACTCATGTATCATTTGATAACCTATATGTGTGGTCATAAAAATTACAGACTTATTTCCTCTATATAAAAAGAAAGAAGATGGGGGCATGATTCCCAATGAGACAACTATCCACCAAAGTTCAAATGAAGAGGACGAAAGCAATTATAGGCAACCATATGGCCTTCAAAAATGAGGAAAACCCATTCCCTATAGTTGGCTATAAATTGTCCGACATGAAAATTATGAAACAATTCATTTGAGAAAACTAACGACCAGTTTGTCCATCAGAATTGACACCTCAAACATGTGAAGACTGTATAATTTTAAACCTAAGTGACTCTCAGTTTTATATTAGAAATGAGTATGTGCTCACTTAGTTACCCAGATGATGATGATGGGAGTTTTTAACGACCTTGACTGGCTATACAGCCCTCGCACGGTCGGTACCAGTTATCCAGGGGGAATAGTCTAACAAAAATCTTATTCACGATATAGCAATGAATATTTAATCTTTTCTGTTAGTTACCTGTGAAATGGTGCAAATGTAGTTTTTATTTTTTGGCGCTAATGAAAGATTGGATTTTGTAAAAATTGGCGCAAATGCAATGCACCCGCCAGTAGGTTATAATATTTATGACAGAAACATAACATTTCAACTTTGACTTAAACAAAAATTATTTAAAGACTTTTAATAAGATAGCTCAAGCTTTTTCAAATGAAATTTCGGTAAATTGCTGTTTAAGCATTTTTGTTTACTAAATTCTGGATGAAACAACAATTTTTCTTAATAAAATTTTAAAGGGAGAATGTAGGACACAAATTGCATTTCAAATAATATTCCGTCAAATTGTTGTTTAAGCAAGTATATTTTCTGAACAAAAACTTTTATTTTTTTCAAAATAAAATTTACTCAACAAAATGTTTAACCAATCATAAGCGTGTTTCTTACTTTTATCATTTTCTAATGACTGCTTATTATGTCGTGATTAGGGAAAATAGCTTTCAATCAGTTGTATATCAAAGGGCTTTGAATACCTTATAAAATTTTGACAAGAAATTATAAATTGTAAAACAAACAAATAATTAATTGCCTTTGTCCACAATTGTAACAAAGTTTTAAATGAACACTTTAACCTAGAATGACCAAAAATTTCTAATTTTTGTTTCATTATTAAACAAACAGAGATCCACCAATTTATGTATCTGAAACAATTTTTATGCCCCCCCCCCCCCCTCTAACTTTAGTTTGCCTCAACCAAATGTTATGAAACTTATACACAATGCTTATTACCACAAAACATAGATCAAGTTGGAATTTGGGTGGCGTCACTTTTACTGCTCATGAGTTATGCCCCTTTATAAACATAAAAATTGCTGAATTTTTCGTTTCCATTCTCTAACTTTAGTTTGCCTAAACCAAATGTTATAAAACTTATACACAATGCTTATTACCACAAAACACAGATCAATTTCGAAATAAGGTGGCGTCACTTTTACTGTTCATGAATTATGCCCCTTTATAAACATAAAAATTGCTGAATTTTTCGTTTCCATTCTCTAACTTTAGTTTGCCTAAACCAAATGTTATAAAACTTATACACAATGCTTATTACCACAAAACACAGATCATTTTCGAAATAAGGTGGCGTCACTTTTACTGTTCATGAATTATGCCCCTTTATAAACATAAAAATTGCTGAATTTTTCGTTTCCATTCTCTAACTTTAGTTTGCTTCAACCAAATGTTATGAAACTTATACACAATGCTTATTACCACAAAACATAGTTCAAGTTTGAAATATGGTGGCGTTACTTTTACCGCTCATGAGTTATGCCCCTTTATAAACATAAAAATGGTTGAATTTTTTGTTTCCATTCTCTAACTTTAGGTAGCCTCAACCAAATGTTATGAAACTTATACACAATGCTTATTACCACAAAACATAGATCAAGTTTGAAATTGGGAGGTGTCACTTTTACTGCTCTTGAGTTATACCTTTTATAAATGGAAAAATTGCTAAATCTGACGTTTCGTTTTTCTTACTTTAGTTTGCCTCAACCAAATGTTATGAAACTTATACACAATGCTTATAATCACAGAAAACAGTCTTAACTACATGAATGCTGCATCTGTATGTGAAAGTTGACTTGTGCATATTTACAAGCAGGGGCATCTGTGGCCCATAGACACATTCTCCATTTATTTCATTTTTGAAACAGCAATCCAAGAATTTACGTATCCCGCTAAATGTCTTTTTTTCCTCTATCCACGAAAAATGATACCCACAAAAATAAATAAATGCACAGTATGCTTATTTGAATTTAGAAAATGTTCAGTATGCCATGTAATGTCACGGATGTTGTCCCTATTTAGAAAAAAAGTATGGTACCGTGGGTGTGAAATATTCAGGACATGCTGTGATTTCATTTTATTAATAAAAGGGAGTTACTTAATATATGATAAGAAAACAGCCTAGTACAAATAAAAACTAGAATAGAGATTTAATGATCAGCATACAATCAACATACAGTCTTCTACAATATTCAAGTGCCTTTTCTATATGTCAAAAAAAAGACTGACTGTAGCACAAACTAAATGTATAAAGCTTACAATTAAATAGGATTTAAAATTCCAGGCATAAATAATATACATGTACCCCCAATCTAAGAGTTGGGGCTATATTGCATTCACCCTGTCCCTCTGTTTGTCTGTCTGTTCTTCTGACCATCGGTTTGTCTGATACAAAGCATGGTTTCCTGTCTTTTCATATAATTAGCCCTTTTTTAATGAATTTTAAAGGAGTTTTTTAAGGATTAGAAATTAAAAAAAATGACCAATAATTGATTTATATAATTTCTCAACAGGAAATATATGAAGATGAATCATCCCAGTGGAAAGAGAATAAAGAATGTTACTGGAAGTCTTCCTGACAAGGTGTCTTAAGACAATTGTGTTAATAACTTGTCTCTAAGTTCAAAGAATAATTAAACTGACAGTAAAGTAATGTTTGTTATATTTCTTAAGAGTTTGTACACATGAAAGTGTGTTTTGGTCATAAATAGGTCACTTTATGTTTTTGGTCTTGAACATATTGGTGTGATCTCCCCAGATCTATCTGTCTTGAAAACTTGCTAGATAATGGTCAAACAATTCATAAATCATCAAAACATCAAAACTTCTCTACGAATCTTTCCAAGTTTTATTTTATTACAGTTAATACATGAACTTACCTGTTTGTGTTATATGTTTTAATTGAAAAAAAAATGAGAAGGGAGACAATTCATTGAATATTTTAAAACTTTTTTGAAATTTTGTTTTATGTGAATTTAATATCAAGAAAAATGTATTTTCTGTATAAATTTCCATTAAATTACCATAGTCAACTTAGTCATTGCAAATCATACCACATCTCCTAATTTTGATATTAGCTGAAAATTATCTTGAATATGCCAGATTTATAACCAAGGTGAACTTTAGAAAAAATTATCTGGAATATATCAAATTCTGTAGGAAGCAGGTCTTGTACTTTATTATGGTGAGTTGAACAATATATTACCGGTAAGTGATTTTCATTTCTGCTGGGCAGTCACTTCCTGTTTGATGGTACTTTTCAATTTAAATTTTACCCACAGTGCATGGAGTTTTGGCGACATGTTACTCAGCTTTTGTATTATTGAATACTATATCTGAAGCATTATACTGTTGATTTGTACAGTATAAGTGATTTTTGTATTAACTGGGTAGTCATTTCCTGTTCTTGATAGTTTGAACTTTTATGATACTCACTTCTTGTCTAACAATGAGTGAGGGTTTGCACAACATTATTTGCACTTTCTTGATCACAATTTCATGCCAGAGTGAAACCAAGTCAGCATGATATTTAGTATTGAATGAATTATAAATTGGACAGTCTATGTGTTTAACTGTCCCTTCAGCTGAATTTTTCAAAAAAAAGTTTGCTTTAATAATAGCATTGGAGTCTTTTGCTTTCTGTTGAATTTACTTGTAGAAATGTTTATATTGTTATTATTACAAAATAATTAAAAGGAAAAATTCATCATTAATTATATTTTATATTGTAAATGTATATCTTTTGTTTTATTAGATATGAGTTTTTTTGAATGTGTAGTGATATACGTGCAGTTGGTTGCTACAAATTATGTATATTGTCATATCAGATCAAATCTATATCTTAATCTTAATTTATTCTTCTAGCTTGTGTTTTCTTTCAAAAAAAAACACTCAATCTTTAATTTAAAATGCAGAGATAAAAATTCTAGAAGAGTTACATATTTTGCAATAAAACTATATATTCATCAACTATGTGCAAATAGAAATAATCATTGTATGAATCTTGTGTATGTATCTTGTACAAAGTATATTAAGGTGTAAACCATACAATATATAAGTATATGTACAGCTGATAAATCAAATGAAAAAAAAGGCGAAAGATACCAAAGATATATTCAAACTCATAAGTTAGTGACAAACCGACAACGCCACAGCAAAAAATGAAAAATGACACAAGACAGACAACCATCTACAAAGCACAACATAGAAAACTAAAGACTGAGCAACACAAACCCTATATATAACCTGGGGTGATCTCAGGTGCTCTGGATGGGAAAGCAGATCCTGCATCTACACATGGCACCCATTGTGTTGCTCATGCATGTACACATTCTGTAAGAAGTCTAAACCGGTGATGTCACATTTAAGGAAAAGAGGATGGGTTTGTGATTATGACAATTGGAACATATCCGTCCTCATGTGTGAAATCTGCAATAAGAATTTATGACATCACAGTTACACACATTGCATCCCATCAAAGCATGGTCCATGGTGGAAGGTTTTGTTTCCCAATAAAGCAAGATCCATAATGTAAGGTTTAACTTAAAGAGCAAATTAAATATTTTTTAAGTATAGATATGATAGCTGTCTGAAAAAGATTAAACATGGGAAAATGTTTAGTACAATATTAGCTAAAAATCAGGGGGAAATTTCTTAAATTATTTTCATAACTTGAACATTTAAAAAAAATGTATTATATCTATTCAATAGTTATACATTTAGCCTTCTCATTCTAGGAGAAAGAAATTGTCATATTTTTTCACCATAAGTTAAATTTTGAAATGCAGATTTCTTTCAAGATAAGGTTACCTCTGATTTTAATAGACAAGTGAGATGTAGAAAGTGAGTAATATTGTTATTGTTCTAATTTTATTATTCCAGACTTCTAGTTTATTGCTGGTGCTGGTTAGATTATTCCAGAAAATTATTTTAGATGGCCTTTAACGTAATTGTGATGGTTGTAAATCAGAAATATGATTGGTGCATTTTGGTGTATGATAATTAATAAAGAACAATTAAATACCTAAAACATATGTCTTGTATAATTATGAACATATTTGTGTTGCCTACTGATATTTGAATTTATAGTTTCTCCAGTTTGGTTGTAAATTATATACCAATTATACTGTAAAATTTTCTTATCTCCTTGTGTAGGATGTATTTATAGATTATCGTTGGTCATGTCAACGAGATTGATTTTCTCGCTTGAGCCGGCACGGCAAAAGTGAGAAAAGCAATCGAGTTGAGATGACCAATGATAATCTGTTTATCGCTATTTTACTTATGACGACGTTGTTAATTTCATTGACAACGGCACGTGCGCCCTTAGTTTCTAGCGATAATTTTTCATATCACTCTACTGTGCTGAGAAAGGTAATTATCAGTCAGTAAGATCAAAGGAAAATTTCGTAAAATAGCGATAAATATAGATTCTACCACTACATCGAGTGTGAAACGATATTTATCCACTGGAGACAGTTAAATTTTCAAATTTAAAACGGGAGGCGAGCCTCACGTTTTAAATATTTAAAATTTAACTGTCTCATGTGGATAAATATCGTATTGCAGGAGATTTGGTGGTGGAATCTGTTTCTCTAATGATTTTTAGACGATATGCAGACCATCTTAATCCTTCTTTACGAACAACCTGCAAACCACACATTGATTAAATAAAAATAATCAACAGGCAAGGAAAAGGATAAATCGAGTAAGAATTAGAGAAATAGATTTACCTCGGCTAATCTATAACATTTATTTTTTGCTTTTCTCTTGTTTTTATTTTTTTATGGTTTTTTATATTAAGTACTCATCTTTATTAAAATAGACCTTACAAAGTGAAGTGTAATCTGGTTTTTGGCTTTTTCACCTCATGTTTGACAATGTCAGTCCTTTTTTTTAAAATATGTAATGTTCATATATCAAAATTTGTTCACACTTTTTGTCAGAATATGCAAATCAGAGCGTATTAAAATCTATGGAAGTTCCACTGTTGAAAAGGTTTTCAGCTCCTATGTCTTTTTACTCCTCTTTTCTGAATACATACATGGCCGTTTATTATAAAAGATATTTCCCAGCATTTGCACACCAAAGGTTCTGGACATGTTAAATGTAGTGCCAAGCTTCGGCATTGTAAGATATATTTTTCACTTGTTCACGTCCTACACAAACTGTTTTACTATCTGTTTAATGAATAAATACCAATAATTCTGTTTGTCTGTCTGTATATTTTAAATACACCATAGGTTACAGGACCCCATCTGGATACCCTTCATTTATGTTCTGGCCTGTGGCGATTTTACTTTGCCTGATTGCTATTACATGTATGTTCTTTATACGATATGTACAAATATCATCAAATGGTTCTCAGCAATTGGAAATCAAAGCTTTTCGTAATTTCGTACCAAAATCATCTTGATTAACCATGGCAAATGAAACCTATGTCCATTTACTTAGGTTTGTTTAATACATGTCTGTCATTTATATGTACTTTACCATGTGGATGTTTTACGCACTAGTCTCAGTTACAACAAATAGAGTCTTCTTGACATTATGTTGAATATTCATCTAACTTGGTAATACCATATGACACATTTAGATTTGTTGTGAGTCTATATCCTGTTGGACAAATACACCTATAGCCAACATGCACAAATAATAACATTTTGCTTTCAATTAATTTTGGAAGCAGATGTATCCCATGTCATCTTTGTCTCACTTGGCCGAAAGTCACAGAATGTGAGACATGGGGATTACAATGCGGCTGCTTCAACGTTGGGGTAAACTTTTTGTATAAAGCTTTATATTTCAGAAGATAGAAGACCTGGATGCTTCATACCTTGTATACAGATGTCCTTTGTACTTGACCTCATTTTCATGGTTAAGTGACTGCTTGAAAAAAAATTAGCTTTTTTGTCATGTGAAATACTCACTCATTATGAGTAATAGGATAACTTTATGTGGTATATGGGTTCCTTGCATGGTCTACATGTCTGTCAGACAGGGTTCACCTGTCATCGACCTCATTTCATGGATCAGTGATCCAGGTAAAGTTTTCATGGTCAAGTCTGTATTGCAGATACTATAACCAATAGGTCAACTATATTTGGTGTATGGCATGAGTTTACATTGTACATGTGTGACTGGCAGGTTTCATTTAACCTTGACCTCATTTTCATGGTTCATCGGACTATGGATATTTATTTTTTGTTTGGTCTATAAGCAATATGGCCACTATATTTTGTGTAAGGGATGATTGTAAGGTGTACATGTCTGTCTGTCAGGTTTCATATGACCTTGACCTCATTTTTATGGTTCATTGGTCAATATTAAGTTTTTTCATGGTTTTGTCATTTTATCAGATACTATAAGCAATAGATCAATTATATTTTTTGCATGGAATGATTGTAAGATTTTCATGTCTGTCTGGCAGGGTTCATATGACCTTGAACTCATGTTCATGGTTCATGTCAATGTGAAGTTTTTATGGTTTTGTCTGTTTATCATGTGGAACTGATTCATGATAGTGGTATGCCGGAGGGCAGAACGATCATGATAATTTTGTGTGTAATTTTTCAAAACAAACTAAAAAGTTTCTGACTTTTTATGATGATAACAAGTGAGACGGTTACAGGCTTTCAGTGAACTTTATCAAATGGAAAAGAATATTCGTTATTTGTCCGCAAACACCCGTTTGGCTTCAAATTACCACCTGTGTGTTTTTCATTGTTTTAGCCCGGGCTGTAAAAAGTCACTCAAAAATACCAGATCAACACTGGGTTGGTGATACCATTGTGGATGAAACGTTCGACCACAAGAAGTGACAGCAACCCAGTGGTTGTAACAACTCATCTTAGATTCCAGACTTATCATTTGGTACGCCATGCTCGCGTTTCGTCTACATAAGACACGTCAGTGGAATCATAGATATAATCATGTATATCTATGGAGGAATCAAAACAGATAGGTCAAATATAAATGATATTTCATGTCAACACTAAAGTGATGACTACTTGGTTAATGAAACCCTCGGGGACGAGATCATGGTCCACCAGCATTAACATAGAAAGATTGGTTGTAAAAATGGGTAGGCAAGGTCGTCCCCCCAAAAAAAAATCATCAAAGATACCAGGCTAAGACATATAATTCCATACAGAAGTAGTATGTAGACAAGAGTTTCAACTGGTTGCCAGGTTCGCTACATTTACGTGGTGAACAAATCACAACGGCTAAATCAACTGCCTCTGCTATTCAAGTTGTATGACCAGACACTCGAAACCGCTTACGAGAGGCTAGAATTAGAACCAAACATGTTGTCATAGTCGTTGCTTTAAGGAGGACATATCGCCACAGCAGATTTCAATGGGCTAAAGCACATAGTAAAAGACAGTACTGGAGAACTACTAGTATTTGGTTCACCGATGAGTCGATAGTAGAACAAAGGTTTCATAACAAGAGTGTATAGACGCCGTGAAAGCGAACGTTTCACTACCAATGGTGATTGGATCGAAATGGTGACATCGCATAATGCAAAGCATGATAGATTTGATACACGTTCTAGATAGTTTGACTGAGAGTCTACTCAATGTTACCGTGATAAAATTCTGCAGACCAACAACATTCCTATAATGCAACAGAACAATGTATGATAGCCTTCACCATCCATGACTGGCATCGTCATTCTTCCAAGCAAACGACGTTCCATTCCTCCCTAAGGCTTGACCTTCCAAATCACCAGATGTAAATGTTTGGGCTCATCTATAGGAAGGCAGGTTTGACAAGTAAACTTCCTTCTCAGAGCTAACAAATACGTGCCCAAGCTGTTCATTTAGAGTGAACAACAGTTACACAGTTTATTCGAAACGTGATTTCAATGAAGAATGTTGTCGCTCGTTGTGCACATACAAGCGATGCTGATTTGTGACAACCTGAAACTATGTAAATGCAAATTTTAGAACTTCTGTTGGAAATAAAACAAAATATATATGTGTTATGATATCCTATTAACCAGTTAATACATTTACAATTAAGATAGTTAAATTATTAAAACTTATTTTTATTATTTGCAAAATTTTACTACAGTTCTTGTTTTAGAAGGGTGTATACAACCACAGGCACTTGTCTCAGAAATAAAATTTCCTATATTTATTTTATAATATGAACTCTGCCATTGTGTGGTGTTCAGTACATCTGGGGGAAACTTGGCGGGTCCGCTGGTTTGTACACACACACACAGGAACATTTGCATTGAACCGCTACGGCTAAAATGTTTGAATTTTAAGTGTATTAACATCTTGATAAACAACATAATGAATGCACCATATATCGTATGTTCAACCTTCGGGTAGTCTTTCTGTGAACAACATTTTCACTTAGAACGTTAAAAACCCGACAGCGAGTCGTTCTAGTACATCGAATGGTCCGTATTCGTATACCATTAAATTTTCTCGTCTTGATATGCATTTGATATTTCAAGGCCACTATAATGCCACTTTACCTTAAACACCAATCCACCCGCCCGTTCGTCCATTCGTTTTGGAACTGAGTATAAAATTCTGTGACAAAGCCTCAAGTTATTTCAATAGCGGTACTTACTATTTCTAAAGAGTGAAAAACCCTTTGGAAGTCTTGGGTTAGATACGATCCTTTGAAGATCAGTTTGCCTTCGTTGACAGTAGTGGTCTCTCTACTTTTTATACTACACAGCCACATAATCTTGTTACAGAAGTAATACACTTTTCTTTAGATAATTAAAATATAAGTGTAAATACTAGTATATCTGAGGGGGTGGACAGATTTTGAGGGAGAAGGGAGGAGGGGGAGGTGGGAGACAAAAAATAGGTAGGAGAGAAAAAAAGCTTCTAAAAGTGTGAGGTGGGAGATAGGGGAGCGGGATGTGGGAGAAGGGTACCCCCTGTCCACCCCCTCATATCTGTTGCAGTCGTTACTATTCTTTTTTCAATAACAAAAACTACAAAAACCCACAAACACGAATTCACACACGAATTGAACATGCAATTTACTGTTAGGAATCCCAATGTACATGTATGGAGCATAAAGACCAAACTCTTTATAGATATTTTAACAATACAAGCAGATTTTTAGATGATATATATTCTCTGCAAACAATCCTCATTTTCTGCGTCTATATATACAAATGGAATGTATCCTTCTGAACTCATTCTTACCAAATCAAACAGTAGAATGTAACCAAAAACCATTGTTAGACCTTGATATTAGACTGACTTCACGTCGTAATATTCATATCAAGATTTTCTGATAAACGAGACGACTTTATTTCCGTTTCTAATGTTTAGTTTTCTTTCCTTGATCAATGGTGATGTTCCATTGGTTCTTCTTGTGGAATGTTCAGTTGATTCCGATGCGTGCGTTTGCAGTGGCGTTCTGACGTGATCTGGTTTCAAATAACGTAATGTTTTCCATGCTAAAAAAATTTACAACAGGGAAATAGATGCCATAAATTGGACAAAACTTGTGCTTAATTTGATTGAACATGTAAAAATGTATTATGGAAGATTCGGGAATATTGAACTACCTGATAACAAAAAACGTATTTTGCATCCAGCTTATTTACCAGTTTACGCCGGGACTTTTACACTAACCAAGGATTTGTATAGCCAGAGACATATATACACATATTTCTCTGGTATAGCCGTATACAAATCCTTGTACTAACAATATATTATGTCCCAGATTTACGGTAATATAATTTATCATATCTGTATACAAAACATTAATTGAATAATATTATCTGGTTTTGAGGTCATACTCATCAGGGACAGTCTATACTAACACCTTAGTATAGAAAGTCCCTGTACACATACTATTCTTTCACAGTACACGGGATCAATACACTTAATTTATGTTGTATTTATTCGGCAGGGATCGCAGTGACACTTTTAAAAATTATTATGGCGGGAAATATATAGAAAACCAGTCGTAGATCTATCAAGTTATTCTGAATGTTCAATATCACAGATATATGTCTGCCTTATATAGACTAAAACTAAACTACACTTAACTAGTAATTACTCTAAAAATTCGCAATCGTCTAACTAGTTCATCAGACATCACTATTCACTAATCAAGGACTTTAATGTTTCATTTTTGTACATAACTTCATGACATAAGCTCATAACTGTATTTCCTACATTTTGTGTTGCAGAATATTCATTTTCATCCTGTCTTGAGGCA